ATATATATATGCCTTCAATACTATAGGGCCTTTATTACTATAGAATTATTCAGATTACTTGTACTCAATTATTCCACCTCTGACTGCGTGCTTGATATATGCCTTCATTCCTACACAATCTTTCAGATTATTTGTACTCATTCATTTAACCTGTAGCTGTGTGTTTGTTATATCCATTCAATACTATAAAATCATTCAAATTACTTGTACTCAGTCATTCCACCGCTGACTGTGTGCTTGTTATATACGGGGGTCATAGGGCGGTGTTGAGATTATCGAAAACAGACCTTATTTCGATGGTCCTGGAGGTTCAGGTCAATACACAATGAAGATATACCATGTCGGAAGTCACATGCCTGGGTGGATCAAATCGATCATGCCTAAGACTGCCTTGGAGGTGTGCACGTGCTTGCGATGATTCTCATTGGATAAGCAAAAGTTCTCGCAGAATAGAGTTGTGAAGTTCGGTACATGCGTGTAGACGAGCCTGTGATGAGTGTATATATTCTCCTTTACAAGTTTTTATGCTGACTTGCATATCAGATGAGTCATAGGCATGTGGAGATTGTGCTGTATCTGCCGATTTTTTGAACAAGAACATCTTCTTAAATGTATACATTGAGATAGATGTAATTGCTAAATAGGCACAATCTCAGATGGATTTGCAATGTGCTTGTTAGTAGTAATGTATATGTGTGTGTATATTCACATTCACATCCACGCATGTACGCGTGCATGTGCATGCGAGGGAGAATCTGTAGTGATACTAGCGCACTACACAACTACAGTGTGTGTACGGTTGTTGCTTCGCCGGTGTTTCAGTTGGCCTGGGCAGTTGTTCTATCGGGGGAAGCATCTGTTCATTTGGCATGCCATGCATCGAAGATCGGATTCACCAGTATGCTTCTTGGAGTACACATCGTCTGATCTATGAGTAGCCCATACTATCTTCGCCCGTGCGAAACACTAATTTAGGTGCAACACGGCCCCACTCATAATTTTACAGGTGCACGAGGAGGCCTGGAACGCCTATCCGTACACCAAAACAATCTTCAGCATCCCATTCGTAAACAAATTCAGCATTGACATCGAAACGGTGTACAAAGGCGGGCGGGGGACTGAGCATGACAACGCCCTGAATTTGACCAAAAGCGAACTCGCTCAGCGAGAAGTGTTTGATATCAACTTGCTGACCACCACCCCCGCCGATCCAACTGATAAGGGTTATGAGCCGTTGGAGGACCCGGCTGTATATGTGTCCCAGCGCACGGGCAGGGGGCCGCTGCAGCCTGAGTGGGAGAAAACACACAATCCAGTTATGTGTGCCTACAAGGTATGGGGCGATACACGTTTAACGGATATACTCACACATGTACGTACATGCAGGCACCCGCGGTGGTCAGCCGGACGTTACAGATATGTACGTTTTTCGAATGCGTGTAATGCAACCACTCGCTGTCTGTCACGTATAGGCACACTCTGAGTTTCTGGCGTGTTGTGCAGACCCGGACTTAGAATGGTACGTTTTGAGGGTGTGTAACGTATATCCACACTCTGAGTTTCTGGCGTGTTGTACACACCCATACTTAAAAATAGTACGCATTGGGTGTGTGTAGAGAGGAACGACTATGTGGCTCTGAGCAACCGCAAAATTGGTGCTGTCTGCGTGGGCTTACTTTATCCCAAGGTTGCAAACTCTGTGTAGATACGATATATCACAAACACACTTGTACCTGCGCGCACACACACCTATACCTGGACATACACACACCTATACCTGCACATACGTGTACCTATACCTGTTTATACGCACACCTATACCTGCACATACACACACCTATACATGCACATACACACACCTATACCTTCACATACACACACCTATACCTGTACATACACACACCTATACCTGCAAATACACACACCTACACCTGCACATACACACACCTATACCTGTACATACGCACACCTATACCTGTACATACGCACACCTATACCTGTATATACACATACCTATACCTGTACATACGCACACCTATACCTGCAAATACACACACCTATACCTGTACATACACACACCTATACCTGTACATAC